GAGATGACTAGTATTGTGATCTAGGCATTTGTATCCTTTATGTTGCAAGCTGTAACCTAGAAAAACACACTCAACAGTTCTTGGTAAAAGTTTGTTAGTCATATATGCACCTAAATGCGGATAACATGCACAACCAAAAACTCGCAACTTAGAATATGAAGGAATTTTTCCATAAAGACAAGAATAAGGGGAAGACTAATGAAGAACAGGTGAAGGAAGACGATTGATGAGAAAAACAGCAGCGGAGACGACATCAACCCAATGACAAGTAGGAACCTGACTCGAGAGAAGAAGAGTTCGAGACATGTTAGCAATGTGACGGTGCTTGCGTTCAACAAGGCCATTCTGTTGAGGAGTATGGGGGCAAGAAAAGAGATGATGAATTCCATAAGAAGAGCAGAGTGCTTGAAATGCCTCGTTATCATATTCTTTGCTGCCATCACTCGGAGAGGCATTAACCAAGTCTGTATTAGAGACTGGTTATCCTATCAAAGCTAGCTAGTTAGAAATCAATTTGGCCTATTAAAGATAATCTGAGACAGATCTAGTCCCAGGAGAAATCTCATTAAGACAACCCCAAAGATGAGAGGAGTTGGCGGTTAACTTCTAAGTGAAGTATTTGGAGATAAGAGACCACATGGAGGTAGAGGTTTTGCAGCCAACTACAGAAGCAAGAATGGGTTCTGACAAGGTAGCAGATAGTGTACTGACAAGAGTCTTGTTTGTGCGAACCCAATGGTATAATCTGGTGAAGAGGTGGCTGCACATAGATGAGTGCCATCAACATATTTGAATAAATCTTGTCCAATAAGGAAGGCTTCAACCTGATGATACCACAAGAGATAGTTATCATCATTAAGCTTCACCATGGTGTGTGATGTTGGGGAGAGAATACGTGGCCATGGCAGCAACGGTTGAGGAGGCAGTAGCGAAAGAACTCATCTTAGAGACAGAGGAACGGGGGGGCACTTTGATTGTGGTGGTTGGACTTTGATGCGACAAATCTGGAATGGTTGGGCAGCGATGGAACAAGACCGTTTAGGTGTGTTGTGCGACAGGCCTGAGAAGAAGAAAGAAGAGTGGCGCTGTACCCAGAGAAGAGAAGAGAGAAAAAAAAGTAACCCAAAACCCTAGGAAAGAATTTGCGGTGACACCATGTAAGGTTGTGAAATCTGAATTGTATTCTTCTCACTGTTGGAGGAAAGTATATATATACTGCCAAGCTAATGTTACAATGGGAAATATGTATAAAGGAATTCCCAGTCTATAGGGATTGACAATTAATATAGTTGACTGGAGAGATATAGACGGTATATACATCAATTAGCTATAATTCAGGGATGCTGTCTAAAAAGAACAAAGCACTAGATAGAGTTAAAGCAATTAAATGTATTACCAGCTAGATCATTATCTGTTATCACGCTGTGTTAATACTTATAAATAAAATAAAAAAGAAGAGAAGAAACTATCTGTTCTTTGATGAGTTTCTTTTCGTTTCAAATATCCCTTTTTGCATATGTCACATGGATAAGATTGCATATGCATCGTAATTTTTTCTTTGGAGTGTCAATGTCTTGAACTAAAACCTTTGACCTCGTCCCAGAAAGAACTCTATGGATTGGCACTGCTGCTTCACATTCGTGTTTTTGTGTTTTATTTTCGTTCTTTGCTTATTTGTTGCCTGATTTTTTGTCTAAGGATTTACTGATAAGTGTTGACACCCATGTGCTTTCTATTGTTAATATATTACAGGATGCTTTGATTTCATTGTTGCCAAAGGTGGCTGATCTTGTTGGAGATCGAGATATACCTGTTATCGCGGCCGGTGGTATAGTGGATGCCCGTGGATATGTTGCTGCTCTGGCCCTTGGTGCTCGGGGGGTCTGCCTAGGCACTAGGTTTCATATACTCCATCTTTATATAGTTCAACTAATGAAAAACATTCTGAACTGTCACAGTTTGAGAACTTTCATCTATCAAACTTAAGTTTTATCTATGTTGATTTTGGTTGATATATAAGATTTTTCTCATTATATTACAGGTTTCTTGCAACTCAGGAAAGCTGTGCTCATCCCACATACAAGAGGAAGCTGGTTGAATTTGACAGAACTGAGTATACTGATGTATTCGGGCGTGCAAGGTGGCCTGAAGCACCGCATCGCGTTCTGCATACACCGTTCTTCAATGATTGGAAATCTCTTCCTCCTCATCAGAATGAAGCGGATCAGCCTGTCATTGGTCGTTCGAAAATACATGATAGGGTGAGAATGAAATCCTTTCATAATTGACAAGTAAAGCATCTACTTTGTTTGAAGATATAGGCCATGAACCATTAACAATTTCTGGGTTATGTTCTTCAACAGGAAATAGACATTCGTCGTCTTGCCGGTACTGTTCCGAATGTGACTGCAACTGGTGACATTGAAAGCATGGTGATGTATGCTGGCCAAAGTGTAGGCCTCATCAAGGAAATTTTACCTGCAGGGGAGGTGGTAAAGAGGCTAGTTGAAGAGGCTCAACTTCTGATAAAGCACAAGTTCAGTGATATATTGTTAACTCACAGCTGAGCAGATGAGTTTCACACTGTAGAATTTATAGAGTTGGGCTGCTGTGGTCAACAAAGTTTGTTGATGGATGACTTTCCCCTCCTCTCCCCGTAGTTTAGATTTTATTAAAGTAGAATATCACCTGTATAAAAATATAAATATAAATAAAAAAGACCACGGATGTTCTCTTTCTATTAGTACAATCTAGTAACTTCACTATAAATTTTGTTAATGCTATAATAGGTTAAGCAAATTCTACAGAAAATTAAATCAGCAGAATGAGATAATAGAGTCCTGCACCCTTAACGCTGAATACAGATACAATTCAGCTGTCTCAAAGTACTTAAATTTTGTTGGTGTTGTGAAATAAGAACAAAGGAGAGAGACAAGGATCAGAGAATTGAATGTGTCATTCCAACTTATTAAGCTTTATACAATGTATGCAAGGGATTTATAGCTGAAGTGGTTCGTTAAGAATATTTACCCGTGAACTTGAGGTCTTAGGTTCGATTCTCCCCTCCCCAATATTGTTTGTATCCAAAATGAAAAAGCTTCCTATAATGTACATGATCTTAAATCAAATAAAATTCTGAAGTAATTATCTTGGTATTATCACCCTAGATCATATAAATATAGGATATCGTGAAATTAATGATTTGGATGCCAAACCAAAACCAAATTACAGGACTAAATTTGCCTGCCAATGATACTGAGAAATAGCATAAATTATAGAAGTTATGACTATTGAATTAACAAAACAGAAATAATAATAAAAAATGACGCATAAATTAATGAAGTCATGACTATTGAATTAACAAAATAGAAAGGTTGAGGTTGGCCCCAATATGTTTGAATGTATTATGTAGCACCAAAAAACATTTCAAATTCACAATATCTTGCATGGATCTATACCTCATATTCCATATTGTCAAACCTTTCAAAGGCCAAAGAGTTATAAAATATTTTTATAAAAAATTTAATTTTGCTCAAAATTTTTAAATTACACATTCTTTATCGTTATATCCTATAAAACTTAATCTATAGACATTTTCTCTTTATAAACTTTCAAAATGCAATTAAAAAATTCACTAATATTCCAATCCCAGCTAGGTCAAAAAAAGATGGTGGTAGCTTTTTTCATGGTGATGGGCCATCACTGATGGCAGCTTTAGCAGTTTTGTTGCCAGCTCTAGGTGGAGGAGAAGTGTATGTTGTAGGAGCACCTCTTCAAGCAAATGAAATTTTGACGCTTATCAAAGTTCAAAACAAAAACAGTTAAAAGAATTTCAGAAAAAGAAATTAAACGTAATTGACGTCTATCAAATTCAAATGTAACCTTATATCTCATTAAACAAAACCTATGTAAACTTTCTTCGACCTTTAATTGGCAAAACATACATGCCAATTTAATGGAATATGGTACGTGAAGAGCAATGGAAAAAGCATGGAGTTGGTGTTACTGAAAACAAGAGCATTTGAATGAATATGGTGGTTTCAAAGTAACCTTTATTCTATGTTTTCTCTACTCTCTCCAATTTTATATGTTCAAATTTACTAGTAGCTGTAGTACAGCCTGCATGCACCAAGCTACAATGCAGAAAAATACTAGAACTCTTTGAATTTGGGAATTATCAAATTTGGGATAACAGAAAAAGTCCTTACTAGGGGTGGGCACGGTCCTGTTCGGGTTGGTTTTTGCCTCAAATTGGAATCAAAACTCGTACTATTTATTCGGTTTGGTTCGGTTCAGTTTTAATAAAAAATTATAAAATTGTCCAGTTATGGTTGAACCGATTTCAATCTAGTTTCGATCCGGTTTAGTTTTGAACCAAATTATTATTTTTTTTCAAATTATTATTTTTTATACAAATTTCAACTGAAATTTTATTTTTTTGGCTTGAAAATTAACAAATTATACAATTTCATACGAAAAGAAATATTGGGGCTAGAAAAGAGAGATGTTTTGAAACTGAGCTCGTGTAAATATTAGTTATGAGATTAAAAATATAGCATTGGATATAAATAAATATTAAAAAAAAATATTTTTTAATTTGACCGGTTTGGTTTGGCCCTGTTCGGTTTGAACCGGAATGGTAACCGATTAGAATCGGTTCGGTTCAGTTTTTTGAATTAGGTTTGACTTTTTGGTGAACACGGTTTTTTTTGGTCCGATTTGGTTCGGTTGATCAGTTCTTCGGTTTCGATGCCCACCCTAGTCCTTACACTGATTTGAAATTGACCCTGGTATACATTTCACTATTCCACTTGTTCATCAATCTATATATATAAAGCAAAAGGAAGAGAATGGTGAAACATTCAAAAAAACCAAAAATGCCCTTTGCCAATGAAAAAATTAAAAACACACCATTTTAATTAAGAGAGGGTGAAATAGTAAAACACCACCGACTTAATAAAAAGAAAAAAGAAAAAAAGAGTCGTGCTGTGCTACCACAGGGGAAGGGTGAAGAACGGTTTAACCCACGAACAACGGTTGCCTAGAAAAGAAGAAGAACTAAAGAACGCGGAGACAAATTAAAAAACAAATTGAAAAACCAACTCAAATCCGCTGCAGTTCATGTCAGTTTTAACACTTCCCACACGACCCAATATCCTCATGCCATTACACAGCAGTTTCTTTCAGTTTTTTTGCTTCAATGAATCTTCTTTCTGCAGAGCATCAAGATGTCAGGGGTACGAATCTCTCTCTCTCTAATTTTTGGTTCGTGATGGAATTTTTGCTTCAATTTCTGCTCTTTGTTTAAATTTTTTTTTTCCTGCGAAGCATTAATGAAGAAAGCATTTAGGTTTGATCTGTTTTCTATCTCTAATTTTTGATTATATATGCTCTTTCTCCAGAGCACCAATGAAGAGCATTTAGATTTGATGGGTTTGATGTGAATGGTATGAATCTCCCTCTCTCATTTTGGTTTTTTTGCTTCAATGAATCTTCTTTCTGCAGAGCATCAAGATGTCAGGGGTACGAATCTCTCTCTCTCTCATTTTTGGTTCCTGATGGAATTTTTGCTTCAATTTCTGCTCTTTGTTTACTTTTTTTTTTCCTGCGAAGCATCAATGAAGAAAGAATTTAGGTTTGATTTGTTTACTATCTCTAATTTTTTATTATATATGCTCTTTCTCCAGAGCACCAGTGAAGAGCATTTAGATTTGATGGGTTTGATGTGAATGGTATGAATCTCTCTCTCTCATTTTGGTTATGTTTTTGGTTCGCCAAATGGTTTTCTTTATTTTCCTGTCAATGACTTTAGTTTTTCTGTGCAAGGAAGACCTGTGAAGATACTTGGCAACAGGTTGGTTGACAGTTAAATTCTTCAGTATGTTTTGGATTTTTAATTCTATTTACTCTCGATTTGATTTTGATTTTTAATTATTTTCCCTTCCCCTCAAGTTTGATTGCATTGCATTGATGTCTCTCTTTATCTTTGAAACATGGCCTTGCTGTTTAATTTGATTATGCTAACACTAATTCATTCATCCATTCATGCCCTCCGTCTTCTTCCGCACAATGAATTCCTCCACCTTTGTTGAAGTTTATCTCTTTTCTTTTGTAAGAAGAAGCAGGGGAAGACTTCCCTATCTTAGAGTATCTATAAGATATATTTTTTTTCTTTTTCAATTTTTCGATTTAATTAGTTTAATTCCTCCTTTGTATGCATCTAAGTGTGTTTTATGGGATTTGCTGCGTACTGTGTTGTTGGCAAACAGATATCTATTGCATTTTTAGAAAGGATGAAAGCTGACTTAGAAAAAGATATGGGGTGGGTCATTTGCTGGAGGAGAAAGCAGCGCAGTAGAGACTCAAAACAGAGAGAGGGGTGGAATTAAGGAATAAGAAAAGAAAAGAAAAGAAAAGCACACGTTAGACTTGGAGTTCTATTTCCACATAACTGCTTCTATTTCCTCATAACTGCTGCAGTTCCAAATAAAAAATGACGCATAAATTAATGAAGTCATGACTATTGAATTAACAAAATAGAAAGGTTGAGGTTGGCCCCAATATGTTTGAATGTATTATGTAGCACCAAAAAACATTTCAAATTCACAATATCTTGCATGGATCTATACCTCATATTCCATATTGTCAAACCTTTCAAAGGCCAAAGAGTTATAAAATATTTTTATAAAAAATTTAATTTTGCTCAAAATTTTTAAATTACACATTCTTTATCGTTATATCCTATAAAACTTAATCTATAGACATTTTCTCTTTATAAACTTTCAAAATGCAATTAAAAAATTCACTAATATTCCAATCCCAGCTAGGTCAAAAAAAGATGGTGGTAGCTTTTTTCATGGTGATGGGCCATCACTGATGGCAGCTTTAGCAGTTTTGTTGCCAGCTCTAGGTGGAGGAGAAGTGTATGTTGTAGGAGCACCTCTTCAAGCAAATGAAATTTTGACGCTTATCAAAGTTCAAAACAAAAACAGTTAAAAGAATTTCAGAAAAAGAAATTAAACGTAATTGACGTCTATCAAATTCAAATGTAACCTTATATCTCATTAAACAAAACCTATGTAAACTTTCTTCGACCTTTAATTGGCAAAACATACATGCCAATTTAATGGAATATGGTACGTGAAGAGCAATGGAAAAAGCATGGAGTTGGTGTTACTGAAAACAAGAGCATTTGAATGAATATGGTGGTTTCAAAGTAACCTTTATTCTATGTTTTCTCTACTCTCTCCAATTTTATATGTTCAAATTTACTAGTAGCTGTAGTACAGCCTGCATGCACCAAGCTACAATGCAGAAAAATACTAGAACTCTTTGAATTTGGGAATTATCAAATTTGGGATAACAGAAAAAGTCCTTACTAGGGGTGGGCACGGTCCTGTTCGGGTTGGTTTTTGCCTCAAATTGGAATCAAAACTCGTACTATTTATTCGGTTTGGTTCGGTTCAGTTTTAATAAAAAATTATAAAATTGTCCAGTTATGGTTGAACCGATTTCAATCTAGTTTCGATCCGGTTTAGTTTTGAACCAAATTATTATTTTTTTTCAAATTATTATTTTTTATACAAATTTCAACTGAAATTTTATTTTTTTGGCTTGAAAATTAACAAATTATACAATTTCATACGAAAAGAAATATTGGGGCTAGAAAAGAGAGATGTTTTGAAACTGAGCTCGTGTAAATATTAGTTATGAGATTAAAAATATAGCATTGGATATAAATAAATATTAAAAAAAAATATTTTTTAATTTGACCGGTTTGGTTTGGCCCTGTTCGGTTTGAACCGGAATGGTAACCGATTAGAATCGGTTCGGTTCAGTTTTTTGAATTAGGTTTGACTTTTTGGTGAACACGGTTTTTTTTGGTCCGATTTGGTTCGGTTGATCAGTTCTTCGGTTTCGATGCCCACCCTAGTCCTTACACTGATTTGAAATTGACCCTGGTATACATTTCACTATTCCACTTGTTCATCAATCTATATATATAAAGCAAAAGGAAGAGAATGGTGAAACATTCAAAAAAACCAAAAATGCCCTTTGCCAATGAAAAAATTAAAAACACACCATTTTAATTAAGAGAGGGTGAAATAGTAAAACACCACCGACTTAATAAAAAGAAAAAAGAAAAAAAGAGTCGTGCTGTGCTACCACAGGGGAAGGGTGAAGAACGGTTTAACCCACGAACAACGGTTGCCTAGAAAAGAAGAAGAACTAAAGAACGCGGAGACAAATTAAAAAACAAATTGAAAAACCAACTCAAATCCGCTGCAGTTCATGTCAGTTTTAACACTTCCCACACGACCCAATATCCTCATGCCATTACACATCAGTTCCTTTCAGTTTTTTTGCTTCAATGAATCTTCTTTCTGCAGAGCATCAAGATGTCAGGGGTACAAATCTCTCTCTCTCTCTCTCTCTCTCTCTCTCTCTCTCTCTCTCATTTTTGGTTCCTGATGGAATTTTTGCTTCAATTTTTGCTCTTTGTTTAATTTTTTTTTTCCTATGAAGCATCAATGTAGAAAGCATTTAGGTTTGATCTGTTTACTGTGGGAGCAATTTCTTCCCACGAGAATATTCGATTGAAAGATCCCCCTTTCTTCTTCGCTGCCTCTTTCTCCCAGCAAAACAAATTGAATAAGAGGACCACACCCGGGGGGTGTTGGCCAAAGGTCCTCCGATGCCTAAGTCAGTTCAAGTGTTTTGTAAGAAAGCACTAGCTAAATAGGGTACGAAGATATATATGTAAGGTATAAACCGGGTGGCCAGAGCCGTGAGTGGTGGCCGGAACCTTGTGAAAAAGGGAGAGAGAGTATGGCGGCTAGGGTTTGTGAGGGATAATCTCTGTAGAGTTTCAGTAGGAATTTAGACGTACCTCAACCCTTGTGTGTAGCCATCTATTTATAGGGGCCTCGGAGGCTAGGGTTTCAGAGGAATAATTCCGTCTTTTGAGCAGTTCATGCACCTATACTCTGTGTCCAGGCGACAGGGTAACTTTGGCTGTGTCCAGGCGATAGGGTAACTTTGGCTAGGGTTTCAGAGGAATAATTCCTAGAAGACGTGGCGAAATCGGTGGTTTTTTGCCTTTGGAGATTAGGAATGTTGGCCAAGGAGGGCGGTCCACAGACATGTACCTGCTCACTTTCAGACTATAGGTGTTTTTTGTTGGGGTTTGGTTATGTGTTTGTTGGTACATGTTCCTATACCGAATGTTGGATGACTAAGATTTCTGTTTTCTGTGCAGGCTCAGTGAAGTGCAATCTTGTGTCGAAGTAAGAGGAAGAGGAGATAGAGTTTGTTAGAAGTGCGATTTCTGAGGATAGGCGGGCTGCGAAGAACATGTGACGCCAGAGCTTCTGCTTGAGTTAGGGTTGCTTCAAAGCAGTGAGTGTTTGTCCCCTTCCTGTGTCTGCATTCATGTTTTTTTTTTTTTTTTTA